GAAGAAGTAATCGAAGCTGTAAATGGTTATTTTGAGGAGCTTGACGAATCAGTCTATAGAGATGGCATTAATAGACTGGAACACCGCTATGAGAAATGTATCAGCCTTGGAGGAGATTATGTTGAGAAATAAAAAAAAAAAATTTTTAAAAACCTTGTTTTTCTTGGTCAGGCCGGAAACTTATCAATCCACCCTCGTATAACTGCCTGTTGCCTTTTATACAAACTATATACATCATTCTTCTATCTCTGTATCTTTAAGTATCTATATTTTTAAGTAAATATACCTTCTTGTCCCATTTAACATTGTCAAAAGCTTTTTCTAAATGTACGAATCCTATATACAATACGATCAATAAATTTTTTCCCTTTGACTCGTTTTTCGAAAGAAATATTTAAGGAGCTTTGTGTTTAAGCACTCATACCATATGTACCATAGTCAAAATTGTAATGAAGACATTATGCTATGTTATCTCATTGGATTTAGGAAACTTTACGATCAATTTATTCTTGTAATTTCCTTGTCGTAGTGTAAGGTTATTAACACAATTCGTAAAAGTCTGCTTTTTCGTCGTGCATAAATAAAATTAACTTGAAAGGCTTTATGAGGACTTTTTTTATGGCTCGGGGCTATAGAATAATAGAGACTTTTTATTATACTCGCTCACCGTCAAAAGGTAAATTTATTTCGTCGGATCTCAAACGGCAAAAGACATAAAAGACAAAAGGCCACGTGAAATATTCGATCTCAAACAGAAGCGAATAAAATTTGTGCAAATCAGGTAGGGGAGAGAGTAAATTGCCTTCCAATTCTTCTGTGACAAATAATTTCCATCTTGCAAACGAACTTAGCACGAAGACTTAGGAAAAAGAAAGTCGAAATCGCATAACTTGAAATTCTCCAGGTATAAAATAAAGGCAAATTTACGTTACATGGGTATGTACACTCATACTATACTATGACTGTACCGAATTTTGATTTTTTTCAATGGATGTGTATCATAAAGATTCGCAGTAAGCACGAAAGTGTAATTAACAAATGAGGATAACTGCATGCAACTGCTTTTATTACACCTATAATACGAAGATATTTAAAATTCAAGTTTACATTTTATCGTACTGCTGGTGTTTGACTGTTTACTGAACCTTTTTAATTATTTAAATTATTAAATATA